GTTTTTGATAATAATAATGATAATAAAAAAATAATGATAATTATTATTCTACATCACCGGAGAGAAGACTATGGTTGCCTCGAGGATCGAAAGCAAACTGCACAGTTTGTGCTCACCACCTTAATGACTGACTGACTGACTGACATCGAGGGAGAAGGAGGTGAAGAAAAAGATTGCTATTGTTAATGTTTCTGCAGTAAGGCCCACCGGGACGAAGACTTGAGGGTGCTCCACTCTGACGTCTGTGACCTGTATGCTTTTCTGAAAGACTCTATTAGATTTGTACCGGGTACGTTCGCCCAAAGATATTATGACGCCTACTTGTTCTTTTTGTTCTATTCATTTTTGGGGTGTTCAATTCGTATTTTGATTAGATTGGATTAAAAAATGTTCGTTCATTCTTTTTGGGGTTTCATTTGTTTGGGTTCTTTTGCTTTTTTTCTTTCTTTGAGCTTACACTGAACCCGGATGTGAACAACCTCTGCTCTAGTGGGCTGACAGTTTTCCGCAATCGGTTTGGATTGGCCCTCTAAACACCAACGTACTGTAAACATTTGATACTTTTACAGATCTAGAACTGAATTGTGTAAACATTTTTTCGTTTTTTTTTTTTTTTCGACATGACTTTTTTCTTTTATTGTTTGTCTAATTTATAAGCCTTTAGATCATAAAATCATAATTTTATATTTGCCCGTATCTGCACAAATTCTATCATTACTTGAACTGTGAAAATTCCACTGTAACATCTTTTCATCATCGTTGCTTTTCTTATCCTGGATCAGGATACAGACCACTGACAAACACTTTCCACTTTTCTCTGTCTTGGGCTAGCTGCTTGACATTATTTCACATCTTTCCATGTTTCTGCACATCATTCTCTATGACTCTTCTCCATCCAGGTTCCACATGGCCTTCCCCTCGTAACGTCTTTTTCTGGTGTGTAATTGTAATCACCACTTTTAGCCGTATTTTAACGAATAGAAACTCACTCTGAACACACATTATTTCTTTAGTAAACTCTGAAGTGTCTCGTCTAAAACGTGGTCACGCCTAATATGATTACTTCACGTCTCTTCCTTCATATGCCAATACCCAATACCCACTTCATTGTTAGTTACGTGCAGAGAAGATCTCGCACCATATTATGTTACTCGTTTTATTAATATGTCACTCACCACTGGAATCGTACCTGATCTTTTCAAACAGCCATTGTAAAACCTTTACTTAAAAAAAACAAGGTCTGATGATGAAAACGATATGAGAAATTTTAGGCCAGTTTCCAATCTTAACTTTTTATAAAAAATCTTGGAGAAAATCGTTTTGTGTCAAGTTCAGCAACATCTAAAGGCCAATGACATGGAAGAACCTTTTCAATCTGCTTATAAAAGGCACCACAGTACGGAAACCGCTCTTTTAAAGGTATCATCAGATGTTTTAAATGAAATCGATAATAAAAAAGTCTGTGTTTTGGTTCTGCTTGATTTGTCAGCGGCGTTCGATACCATCGACCCCGAAATTTTATTAGAGAGATTGGAAAGTCATTTTTACTATCAGGTACTGTTCTAATGTGGTTTAAATCATATCTAGAAAATAGATTTATGTCAGTGAAAATTGGCAATGATGTGTCAGATAGGCTACCTCTAAAGTACGGAGTTCCTCATGGTTCGGTCCTTGGTCCTGTCATCTTTACAATGTAAACGCAAAGTCTGTCATCAATAATTTCTTTATATGCCCTCAATTACCATTTTTATGCAGACGATACACAGCTGTATGGATTCACTACAACTGACAATATACACAGTCTCATAGATAGAATCGCCAGATGTATCAATGATATAAGAAAATGGATGTTCAAGAACAAATTAAAATTAAATGAGGGTAAGACCGAAATATTATTTCTTCGTAGCAGCGCATACAACGAAATCGACAATATCAGAATAAACGTCAATGGCCACGAAATATCAGCCCAAACTAAAATAAAAAATTTAGGTGTGGTGCTAGATCAAGATATGTCAAGGAAATACCATGTATCCAATTTTTGTAAAAATCTATATCTCCAACTGAAGAAAATAGGTAGCATTAGAAAATATCTATCTGTTGGTGTCATCAAAACTTTAATAACATCACTTATATTGTCAAGGGTTGATTATTGCAATTCCTTACTGGCTGGTGTACCTGGTGAACAGCTACAACAACTACAAAGAGTACAAAATATTGCTGCCAAAATAATTAAAAAAAAACTAAAGCATGATCACGTGACTCCTATTTTAAAAGCATTACACTGGCTCCCAGTGAAAGAGCGTATCATATATAAAATCTGTTTAACTTACTACAACTACAAGTGCTTAAATGATTTATCACCGGACTATCTAAAACAGTTTTTAACACCCTATGTGCCTCCTAGAACGCTCAGATCATCAAGTGACAAAACAACCCTTGTTATGCCTAAAATAAATTACAAATCATATGGCCAACGCTCTTTTTCATATTTTGCCCCACTTGTTTGGAATAGGCTTCCAAAAACTATCAGAGAAGCAAAAAATCTAGAAATTTTTAAGAAGAAACTAAAAGCATTTCTATTTTCATCATATTTCAATTAGACACAATCCATCCAAGCTGTAGATCGTTGTGAGTTTGTATGTGCGTATGTGCGTATGTACGTATGTGTGTATGTGTGTATGTATGTGTGTGTTGTACGTGCATGAGTGAATATGTGTTTGTACGAGTATGTAATACTATGTACCTTTAAAATTGATTTGTAAATCCATAATATGTATCATGTTAAGCGCATAGAGCATTGCATAAGTGGATATGCGCTATATAAATGCAATCCATTATTATTATTATTATTATATGATTATTTGACGGCTTTTCCTCCATGCCTTCATAATATGATTATTTCACGGCTTTTCCTTCATGCCTTCATATAATTATTTCACGGCTTTTCCTTCATGCCTTCATATAATTATTTCACGGCTTTTCCTTCATGCCTTCATATAATTATTTCACGTTTCATGACAAGGTCAAGATGAGAGGGATCGGCTGGAGAAACAACGGGTGATCAAGAAAACAGAAATCTTGAAAACTGCTAAGTCTCTTGCTCAGAAGTCACTGTTTCAGGTATGCAAATTAAATCTATCTCTTGCGTGTATATTGAGTTTCACTTCCGACCGAAAAATGGGAGGGAGATAGAGAGAAGACACGTGCCACACACACACAAACACACACACACACATACACACATACACACACACACGCACCCACACAAACTACACTCTCCTTCTATCAATCTGTGTGTGTGTGTGTGTGTGTGTGTGTGTGTGTGTGTGTGTGTGTTTGTGTGTGTGTGTGTGAATGTGGGCGAAATGAAAGAGAGAGAGATAGATGGAGATAAAGAGAGTGTGTGTGTGGGTGAGTATGTGTGTGTGTCAGGGAGAGAGAGAGAAAGAGAGAGAGAGAGAGAGAGGGAGGGAGAGAGAGAGAGAGAGAGAGAGAGATAGAGAGAGAAAGAGATAGTGTGTGTGTGTGTGTGTGTGTGTGTGTGTGTGTGTGTGTGAGAGAGAGAGAGAGATAGTGAGAGAGAGAGAGAGAGAGAGAGAGAGAGAGAGAGAGAGAGAGAGAGAGAGAGACTCACTACCAACCGACAAGTATTAAATAGACCTGCTCAGAAAGAAGAGACAATGCAGAGACTTTCAATACAGAAGCATCAACGACAACGGTAACAGTCAGTACCAAAACCAGAAAAAAAACTGTAACAAGCCTACAATACGTTACCCCCCAGCCCCACCTTTCCAATAGCAAAAAAATATACCAACAACTCTCCCCCCCCTCCACACACAATACTCCAAACCCCGCAACAACAGCAACTACAACAGCAGCAACAACAACAACAAAAGCAGCAGCAACAACAACAACAATAACAACAATAACCACCACAAACAAACTAAAACACACACCACATGCCAATGAAGAACACATTTCGTTTTAACCAGCCTCAACTCTCTCACTTCAAAACAGACCTCTCCATCCCCTTTCTCTCCGGGCACGACAACGTGCTCAATCCTATCCGTACGCCCTGGAGTTATTTTGTACCTCATGGGTTGTATCCTTCACATTCTAGAATACTTCTAGAGCGAAGATCTGTTTGAAACTTTTAGTATTTCTCAAAAAACCATTTTGTCAGACTGCTATGCAAAGCCTACGGATCGGATTAACGAGTAAATCCTCTTTGGAAAGTGCGGGCACAGAGTTCCCCACGTCAATGGATACGATAGTAAAACACGATGTACGGATAGGGTTAACCACAACGATCCGTCCGATTTGAGGGGACGGCAGTGTTTCTAGCACACATAATCATCATATTGTCTAACAATATCAAGGAATAATATTTATAGCTATTAATATTATATTGTGTAAAAACATTCGTGGCGCAACTTATCATACACTATTTCTCCTGAACGGGCGAATCAGTGTCACCCATACTTTGCATGGCAGTTTGTATCAATTTACTCATATTTTTTCCACAACAATTGAGGAAAGATCTCGATCTCAAGATCAAACATTTTTCTTCATACATTAATATGAAATACCATAAATCTCCGTCAAGCGGGAAATGGGATTGTTTACAACACCCCCTGCATCTAAAACACATTTTGCAAACGCATATTATAGATCTAGCCTACATCAGAGCTCACCAATGACATCTTTTAGTGGAAAAACTTGTTACAAGAAAGTGATTTTATAGTAAACATTTTTTTTGCACTGAAGTTTCCCAAAACATGCATTCAATAAGCATTCGCGATTAGGAAAAAAAAGTGACGGACTTGTTTTTAATTTTAAAAGCGATATTGCCCCAACTGTAAACCTTTTACAAATTGTAGAAACCACCCACTTGGATTTTAAATTATTATTTATTAAGGATTTTTCGAGAATGCAGCTAACGGATGATAAAAAAATGTACATTATAAATCGATTGGTTTAATTGTGTAAGGGTATTCAAAGAGGTGGGACCTCAGAATTTAAAATCCATCATCGATAGAATTGAACCAACTGGGTGTAGTGCCAAATCATTCAGAACGACCTGTTGGGGACTCGAACCACGACAATCCTCTCCACAGTTCAGAAAAACTTCAACAGATCTGACAGACGGCTTATTAAAACATTGTAGGACAATAAATAATATTCAATTTTGACGTAAAACAACCTCCAGAACCATCCTGACGATGCCATCAACCAGCTTTCCGTTGCCATACATTTTGCTCATGAGCTGTACGGGAACAATTCAGTGCTCATCATTCCGATCCATGCCATGTGCGTGGAGGCGCTGGTCAAGAGAGGGAGGATGGACCAGGCCACTCAACAACTGTCCAAGTAAGTTAAAAATAATGTGAGGATTACTGAAAAAACGAGTTGCTTCTCATAGTTAACAAATTGAGGTAATAGTCAGAAATCGACACATGAGTCCACCAATTGATAGATTTTTCAATCGAAGCTATTTTTTTCAAGTATAACAAGCCTATCATTTCATGCTTAAAAATTGTGCAAAATCCACTTACAAAATCATCCGATATAGGCCTTAAGTCCAAAAAGTAACATAATAATATTATGTTGGTACATCTCTTTTATTATTATTGTTCCTCATTTCTTGCAAGAAGGTATAATTTCTTTAAAATTTGTTTTGAGAGGTTTTTGATGTGTACTAGACATAACTGCGTGTAACTATATATTATCTATTTGAAGGTTGGGAGCGTGTCCAAGTAGACGGGAGAAAAAGAAAAATGATAATTATGCACTCCACCAACAGCTCTCTCTCTCTCTCTCTCTCTCTCTCTCTCTCTCTCTCCCTCTCTCTCTCCCTTTTTAACTCCCAGTGGCGCATAGGCCATCAACAACATTTCTCCAGCGAATCCTGTCCTGTGCATCCTTTTCTAGCTGTTTCCATAATGTCCCCGCCTTTTCCATTTCCGCTTGTACCGCTCTCCTCCGTGTAATCTTTTGTCTTCCTTTCTTTCGTTTTCCTCGTGGATTCCAGTCAAAGCCTGTCTGATTATGCTTGTCGGGGTCTCCTCAGGGTGTGCCCAATGCAATTCCATTTCTTCACCCGTATGTCTTCCTTTACTGGCCTTTGGCTTGTTCTTTCCCACAGTTGAGCATTTGTGACTCGATCGTACCATTTGATCCCCACTATCCTTCTTAGGTACCCATTTAAGAAGCTCTGCAGTTTCCTTGCTGCTGATGCTGTGAGCCTCAATGTCTCTGAACCATACAGTCTTCACGTTTTGTTTTGAAGATCCTCTGCTTGGTGTTCAATCCCAGTTCCTTAGACGTCCACAATATGAATGCTGCTCTTACCTTTTGGATTCTGACCTTGATGTCTTCTTCTGTTCCCCCTGACTTTTTGGTGACATTTCCCAGGTATGTGAATGATTCAAAATCCGCCTATGGTGCCCCTTGCAGTGTGATAGGGACGTCAGCTGCATTCATTCGAAGTTTTTTTTGTTTTATCTATGTGAATATGGAGTCCAACACTGCGGGAGAAGGTCTTAAGGCGATCTGTCTTCTGTTGCATCTGGACTCGACTGTGAGAAAGAAGTGCCAAGTCGTCAGCAAAGTCCAAGTCTTCCAACTGACTTGAAAGGGTCCATTGTATGCCACCGCGTTGTACCGATGTTGTCTGTCTCATTATCCAATCCACTGCTAATAAAAAAAGAAAAGGCGATACCAGGCGATCCCTGTCTCACTCCTGTTTTCAGTTCCAACGAGTCTGTCCGCAGCCCTCCAAGTAAGACACTGCAGCTCATTCGATAATACATCTTCTTGATCAATCTCACGAACTTGTCAGGTATTCCATAGTGGCGCAACAGCTTCCATATTGAGTCCCTATCTAGGCTGTCAAAAGCGTTCTTGTAGTCAACAAAGTTAACGTACAGGGAAGAGTTCCACTCTCTCGACTGCTCCAGTATTTTCCTCAAAGTTGCAATCTTGTCTGTACATGATCTCTTTTTACGCCCTCTTAGTTTTACATCCACGGCTTCCTTCAGTCTTTCCAGTATGGTATGACTTAAAATCTTCCCAGGAATGGACAGGAGCATGATTCCTCTGTAGTTTTCACACTCATTGGGGTCTCCTTTCTTGGGCAGTTTCACAAGCAATCCCTCTCTCCAATCCTGTGGAAATTCTTCGCTGTCCAATATTTTGCCAATAATTCCATGAAGAATCCATGCCGCTGTGTCCATATCCGCCTTGGTAACTTCTGGGGGAATTCCATCTGGGCCGGCCGCCTTGCCTGCTTTCTGACTTTCTGGTGTCTTATCGCCTCCTTGATGTCCTCCAAGCTCGGCTTTTCTTCACTCACCCCCAGATCGATCTCTGCTGGAATGTCAAACTGTTTTTCGGGCCATGGTCTGTTCAGTAGTTCTTTGAAATGCCCGTTAGCGTCCTTTCTGTTTGTCTGGATTTGTGAGAAGCTTTCCCTCTTTATCCTTAACTGACACATTTACGTTCCTGTATCTGCATGCAAGTTTCTTTGTGGTTTCATACAGTCCTCTCATGTTTCCTGCCCCTGCTGCTTCCTCTGCCTCGCACGCCTGGTCATCTACATCGTTTCTTTTGTCTTTCCGTATGTTGACTTTTACATCTTTCATTGCTTTGGTGTATTCTTCTTGGGCCTTTGCTTTGGTGTATTCTTCTTGGACCTTTGCTTTTGGCTGCTCTTGTCTTGCCCCTGTTTACTTGATCCTTTTGCTTTTTCCTTTACTCCATCTTCCTCAGAGTGGTGGCAGATATCCACGTTTTGTGCTCACGTTTCCGTTTCCCCAGCACCTTTTGATACACAGTGATCCAGCCTTCCTTTATTGCCTCCCATGTTTCTTCCATGCTGCTATTCTCGCCTAGTGTTTCCAACACTTGGAACGTGTTCTTAACTGCTACATTAAACTCCTCTCTTGACAACGACTCTCTCAGAAATTCCACATTGTACCGGCACCTATGATTGACAATCGCCTGTCTTTGCTTCAGTTTTAGTCGGATTTTTTGAATGAGCAGAAGATGGTCAGAAGCTATGTCCACCAACAGCATACCATTAGAAACACCGAGCCGCCCCCCACTCCCCCGAAAAAGTTTTTTAAAAATGAAAATAAAAACCAAAACAAACAATCAAAACTACTTACATTAACAAAACACACATAATAAGTAGCCTAAGAAGGGCCGTCATGATTAACATGCACATCCTTTTTCTCTTGAAATAACAAACTATGTGGGTGGTCAGCGGACGTTTTAGTGTTAGTTTTCTCCTTCTTTCCTATCAAACATCTGTCGTTCTTTTCCAGCCTCCTTTTTATTAAAATTTGTATGTTACTCTCGAGTATCACCTCTATATCGTCGGCACTTATATTATAATGAATTAATTGAGTTGCAAGTGCCGTAAAAGTCTTACTAAACCTAAAACGAAATAAAGTAACAACCCACTGATCCCCATACCTCCTCAGGGCGGAATGGATACTCCTGAACGAAGACGACTGCCCGGACCTGATCAAGGCCGATTTTTACAAGTAAGTAAGGACCTAAACAAAATGTGTGACGTAGAAAGATCAGGACAGTGTAGGTTTTCGTGTGTTTTACACCGTGTACAATGCATACGGTCATATGAGGGCGCGGGACACATTAAGATACTTCGGTTTGGTAGGAATTCATTTTGAATTTTACCCGGTTAGCTGCTGAAGACTACTCTTATTGATCTTATGACCACCAAGGGATCTTTAACGTGCGCAACTTGCACAAGGGACCTGCAAGATTTTTTTCCCTCATCCAAGAAGGCTAGGTGTTAGATCTTATCAGGATGGCTGACAGACAGTAGTAAGAAAGATCCAAGGAGTAGGAGTAGAAAGGCAGCAGAAAGAGTCAGGAGCCGAGAGGAGGGGGCACAGGGGGCGGGGGAAGGCGGAGAGAGCAGAAAGTGGAGACGAAATCAGAAGATAAAACATGGTTAGAGAACAGTAAATGAGGTGAAAGGAGAACATTTTATTTAGAGGAGACAGTTTTCCGTCGCTTCCAGGTTTCCAACCCGCGACCTATTAAAAAAAAGGAGAACATCGTACCTCTAGATCACGAGAGCGGATGCTCTGTGCGTCTCATTTAGCCACGTAAGCAAGAAAACTAATATATGCATTCATTAAAAAAACACCCCAAAACACACACTTCTTCTTCTTGAATTCTTTTGATCTTTTTGGGGGGATTTCTTTTTCAATAGAATCTACCATTCTGCTTCTTTCACTATGTTGCTGTTGACTGTTCTTCCATTTTCTTTTCTGAAGAAAGACTACTGGTTATTGTGTCTCTGCACTTCTCATCATTCATCACCATCCCCAATAACATCTACTGCTGCAAAGATATAGCAAACCAAACATTAGCATTCCTCTCATGTCTTCCTTTCCACAAAAGATTTCAAGCCTCCTCCCCACCCCCAAGCAAGCAAAAGGAAAAAGAAATGAATGTACAAAAAACTTACGCCTTTTCTTCTTCTTCTTCTCCTTCTCCTTCTCCTTCTGCTTCTGCCTCTGCGTCTTCTCCTTCTCCTTCTCCTTCTC